AACAAGTGCATCGCTAGTAGTAACAAGTGCATCGCTAGTAGTAACAAGAAGCTACTAGGAACAAGTGCATCGCTAGTAGTAACAAGTGCCTTACTACTAGTAACAAGAAGCTACTAGGAACAAGTGCATCGCTAGTAGTAACAAGTGCCTTACTACTAGTAACAAGAAGCTATGTGAGTATCTTCTACCATGGTTCCCATGGTCTCCATTTTGGGGATTGGAAAGAGTGGAGAGTACCCCTTGGAAGACTTGACTTTTCCTGTCACTTGCGGGGGGTTCGACCAATTGCTACTGTATTTGTGGAGTCGAAGGGTGGACTGGGTTTGCCAACTTTGTCTACGTTGGTGCCGTTTTACCGCAAAAGAACTACCCTGTTCCAAGTGAAGATGAAGCGGCTCTCCGATTCAATAATGACTAGAAGTATCTAGAAGTAATCGATAGTTATGAGTTCAGCCAATGTAACAACAAAAGGATTTCAGCCTTGGAACATGTATAATTGTTTTTCTAAATATTAGCTTTGATAATCTTAGTATAAAGAACGTCTAGTGAATAGGCCAACGTGTTGCAGCGGTGTTTGATGATTTTGGACGGTCTTTGCAGCACCTTTCGGAAGGAGAGAGAGAGAGAGAGAGATAATGTATACTGTACATTCACTATTGTTTCACCCTGTCGACGTCCAAACCCCTTAGGTTGAGATAGGTTGAGAGATCATGTATAAACCCTTTTGTTGGAGTGTTGCCCTTAGGTATACCCCTTAGGTTGGAGTGTTTGCCCTGAGCTCAGAAAACATGGAGCTCAGGTAGTCGCTGGCTTCGTGCCCCTGAGGGTGTCAGGGGGACCCAGTCGGACCGGACAGGGCTTTGGCGGCAGGTGCACCGTCGACCCATGTCGTGGCGCATTCAAAGTAGCTCTTAGGTTGCAGGCCATCGCTCTTAGAGGCCATGGCTATACTATAGTAATGAAGTTGGAGGCACAATGCCAGTCAGGCTGACCAAACGTGCTAACGATAGAGGCCATGGAACACACATCAACTTGGCGGTGTCCGCGGAACAAACGGAGCCGTGACATCGGGGGTGAACTTCATGAGCCCGCTGACATGAGTTGACCATGACTCATCGTCGGCCGGATGAGGTCCCGGAGCATAGATTTAACAAGTGCCATCCACTGACGTCGTGTTTTACATAAACAGGCATCACCGGAAAAGAGCTGTTCCAGTTCCATGGATGGCCTAGGTTTTGCGAAACATCGCTTGAAATCGTGTCCAATGGAGACCTATCAATCGCTCGAGTTGTTAGTGACCCAAAAAAAACGCAGGCAGTTGGTTTCTTTGGAGTTCTGTGGAATGATTGCTACTCTTAGACTGGAGAGGGCGCATCTCTTCAACCTCTCTCTTCGGCCAGGTGACAGCGGCCTCGCGCTTGGCCGTCCAACTGCCCGAGGACGAGTTCACGTGCCGAAAAGGGATGGTTGGGCGAATCTGGCGCCTCCTGAGTCGCGCGAATCTATATCGGATGAGGGAGATCCCCACAGAACCCTTCGGTACCTTATTTGGTGCATTTGTCCTTTTAGATTAGGCCTCCTGCTTGTACTGTGGATGTTGTTTTGCTTTATGCAATGAAACAGTCACAGTCAGCCCATTGCTTGCGGGGTGTCCAAAAAGCCAATGCACACCCATGACGCTGCTGGCGCGCTAGTTTTGCAATGAAGATGTTCCTGTCAGAAGATTTCAGTTGCCCATCACAATCAACGTAGGCCGGTGCCTGTCGAGCTATGTATTTGCCCGCGCGAAATGTATTGCGCGTTTCGCTTGCGGCTTGCGTACCTGAGGTACGGTGCATAATTGTTCCGTGCGTATGTTCCAGTGGGTTGGCACAACATGTGTGAATTGAAGAGTTTCTTGTTTTGTTGGTTGAAATGAAGATTGAGGTTGAAAAGACCTATGGAATTATGATGTTATATATTGCTGAGACAGGTGGGCATAAGTTTAAGATAGTTTAAGTGTTGGTTCAAGTGGAGGCTAGAAGGTGTTGGGGTTCTTCAGCAGGCCTTTCATCATGCAGACATCTTTTGCCGCAATCGTGGCTGTTAGGGTTACCCACCTGAGTGAGACAAGCAAGACAAGTCTCCTTGACTCGTTTCTTTGCACATCTCGATATAGGCAGGGCAGCAACCGCCCGGAAACGCGACCGGCCGGGCGGTTGCGCGCCGGTCGGGGTTGCGCCGGTGCCAGTCCACAGAGTTGGAGACCCCCGAGACTCGTTCGTTGACAACGACCCAGTAGACCTCAGTGACCGGTCCAGACGAGCGAGATACATGGTCTTTGACTGGGGGTTGGTTGGTTCATAGAGGAGATCCCAAACAACCAAGGGGGAGAATCTGTTAATCCAAATCTTTAAAGTTTCGCCTCGGGCAACGATTTCGGGCTGGAGATGGCTGGATCGACTCTCGGGCGACAGGGAGCGACACTTCCCGAACAAAGTCCAGTCGCACCAGTCAGTTCGTTGCCCAAAAGGACTTGTACCTTCCACGTGGCCATTCTCGACCGGCCAGGTACATTGATAGGCCTTGGCCGCACTTTGTGACACGTTGGGCATCCCAGACCAGGTGCGTTGGACGTCACACGTGCCACACCGCAAAGGGTGACGTGGGGCACGGCGCGCGCATGTTGCTTGGCATCAGGTAGGTTTGTCCATGATCATTGGATCAAAGTACTACTGTACTGGGCAACATGAGTTTTTGGACGTGTCCATTTTCGTGCTAGATCTTCCCTTTGGAATGTAGGCCTGCCACAGTGCTAGAAGACGCAGGTTGCAGAGTTCATGGTCGTTTTTGAGCAAATTTGATCCATCATCACTTGAGGTTGCATATTTTGGAATATCTTTTGGATTGTTTTGGGTGTATTGTGATACCCCCAAAAAAAATACGCGAAGAGAGCATCGGTCACCAAAACCCGTTTGTCGGTCACCACTGTCTCATTTTCAAAGAGCGGAGTTGTGCACTAGGACCTAGGATGATAGAGAAAGATGCAACACTGATTTCACGCGCGTCGTCCATGCTACGACTGAGGTTGTTTACTTGTTCCAAGTATAGTTCAGAAGTGACATCACAAGATAGATTTGTTATTCTTCCTATCCCATACACTATGGAACATATATGCCTTGCATTGACCCCCCCTGGCACCACCCTAACTGATCGGCAGTCCTATGGCAGTCCCATGGAGCGCTTGGGTATTACTAGCTATGTTGATACAGCATGTTAGGACCGAAAATGACTCTAAGACTCGCTAAGCGTCGCCATCATCACCATAAAGCGCCCAAGGAGGTGACGTCAAGACCAAACGTGCCCTCCCCTGAGGCTGGGCTGCCATTGATGCCACCCTCCAGGATGCCTTTGGCGAGGTGGGCACGCGGAGAAATCACGAGGGACGTGACGAGGACATCACGAGGAAATCCAGTGGAGAGAACGTGCGGTCGATGATCAGAGGCGGTCTGGCCGGATGTTCACGTGATAAAGAGATGATCATTAATAAAGATGAACATATCCAGCAATATCCCAAATCTCTAGGCCTCCAAGTACCTTCTGAGAAGGTATTTGGATCCTCCAAACCCACCCCAGTCTCACCTTCTCAGAACGTACGACTGGAGGCCTGGCGAATAGGACCGGTGGCACTGGGAGATGGACCTCCGGCCACTCCGACGGGGTCATATGCCATATATGTGGACCGTTTCAATATGGACAGTGTGCATTTGTATAAGGAAGTCGGTTGAATGTGCATGTTGTTTGTTTCATCGTTCACGACTGGTTTTGAACAAAGCGGTCCCATATATAAATGGAAGCGGGAGGGGTTACAGAAGGCAACCCCTGGGCCAGCTGCTACAGAGAAGCAACACTGCCGCAAGTGGTGTTTTGTTGGTCTTTTTTACTTTGCCCTTGTTTTTATTGTTTCTGTTTTTGGTAGAAGCTAAAGCAGCTGCTCAGCATAGTTGTCTCGCTTGGTATCTCTGGAGCTTCAAGGGGGCAAAGTTAGAAGGTGTGAGGGAATGTTGGTTTCCTGAGTAGCTGGACTTGTTGGACTTGTTTCACTGAATTCTGGGTTGGTCCAATTTGGGTGATATTGTTTTTCTGGGGGCAAAAACACAACAACAGCGGGGCAGTTTTAGTTTCTAGGACGGGGTAGAGACAAAGTAAGACGCTGTGTTTTTTCGTTTGTACCTTGTTCTTGTTCGATCTTGTTGTTGTTGTTGCCGCTATTGTTGTTGTACAATGATTGCTATTGTTTGACGAAGCCGACATACAATCAAGCGCAATCAGGGATGTTACTGTTTCAGACCTATCATTGCCTATATCATCAATCTTTGACCTGTTGGCCAAATGCGTTGGAATCTTCGGCAGCACATGAACCTTCGGTCGCAGACAAACAAACGTCTTCTTCACTGGTGTTCTGTGTATTTTTCCAGACCCCGCGACGACGCGGGCTGCGCCGTATTACGCAACCGCGTGCGTTGCGCAACCGCGTAATGCGCCCGGCTGCAGCGGGAGGCGGGTTTTACCCTTTTGGATTTGGGCAGCTGCTCCGGATTCTTCAGCCTTCAGGCGCAACTGAGGATCTTTCGACAGGATCTTTCGGTGGGATGAGGTCAGGATCTGAAGGTTGAAGGGTGAGGAAGCTTGGAGTGTTTGTTCCTCCAATTCTTCCATTTTGGCAACCACATATATAGAAGCAAGTCACCAGGAAACGAGCATCCGATAGGTCCAAAGCAGTACCGTAAAACCATAAAGGCAAGGGATTCTTACATGTTCCTTGCAAGAGATGCATTTTTGCCGGCAGATTAGGTCATTTAATTCCATTTCAAACTTAAACAGTGACATTTCGCGGCTGAACGTCATATCGAAAAGGTTCACGTTCGGCCCCCCATATCGAGTCTCGTAAGAAGTCGTTCATCTTTTTTCAGTAGGTACGGTATGGTACACTTGAGTAGCATACACTTGTTTGTACTGCGGGATCGTGGAATGCAGCGTATTCTCCGACTGGTTGCGGGACCGGTCGGACCGGTTTGGACAGCGGACAGAGTGACGGACAGAGTGGATGTTCTTGGTATAATCATCCCTTGGTGTGCAAGCAAGAGCTTTACAACAGAGGTCTACTGTTGGTGGCTCGTCTACCTGGTAAAGGTTTTCTTGATGCTCCGATTTTACAGCTCATCGCCCGCCAATGGTGATCAGTGATACTCCAAAGCCTTCCCACATGTGCTGTGTATGCCTGGTCACACGTCATGGCGCTGACAGGGTGGCTGAACCGTAACCCCAAAACCCGCCTGGTCACGCCGTGAAATGATGCAAGTGGCGCCCCCTTGTTGAAGCCTCAAAGAACCAAGCGAGGCCAGAACCGCGGTCATCCAAAGAACCACGGTCGGCCCCCGGGGTTTTCTACCCAAAGATCGATGCGCAGAGGCCGCTGTGGCATATCCCAATGCGCAGATTGTGGGCGTGGAGGGCTCTGCGACTCGGAAACAAACGCAGGCAGTAGCTATGACAGCTATGACCACTGACAGCTGGCCACTACCCAAACCTAGTGCATTTTATTGCATTTTAGGATGGTTTAGGTAAAGTTAAAGTTCCGTTAGGGAGTCGGGAGGTGTTTCTTGGGAAAAAATCAGATAGGTGAGGCTCTATTTTCCATTGAAGAATACTTTCTCGAAGAGTTTTCCTCCTCGCCTCAGGGGGTGTCTGGGGGAAGGTTTACCTGGGCCATTGCAGGGTAAATGCCTGTGTCTTTAGGCAAGTGGTGCTGGTAGATTCCGACTTCCATCATTTTCTGCAGGTTACTGAATGAGCACAGAAGAACCATGACGTCGACTGTGCCGTTTTCCACCGCCTTTCCGCACGTGGTCTGAAGAGGCCTGTTCAGAGGCTTTTCTGCTGGGGACTCGTGGAGCCCTGGATTCTCTGGTCAACAGTGTTCTCAGGATACCGCGATTTGCGCAACCAATGCACAACCAACCTGTTCCCTGCAAGGATGAAGTACAGGGCTCAAGATGGGTTCTACATGGGCCATGAAGGCCTTTGTTCTTGATACCTGGGTTGACCCCTTTGCTGGTTGAGAGCCGCGATGGAGTTGCTCATGTTGAGCCCATCAAGCCTAGGGTGAGACAATGGCTGACTGTTGGGAGGGCAATGCTGTTGGTTCCAAGTTTCAAGAGTCTACACCGCGACCCCTTTGCCAAGCCCTACTTTGCTACCGCTGATGCTGCTGAGCCACCAGCTTGTTGCAAGCCACGAAGAAGAAGAACCCACCAAGCTGGATCACATCGTTGGTGTGAAAAGTCTCCTTATAACAGAAACTCCTTCCGCTGCCCGCTAGAATCCAAGTGGGCCGAACGGGTGCTCATTTCTTCGTTCGGCATTCCTTCGCACGATCCGAGTTTCGGCCAACCCAACACGTTGGAGGCCTCAAAAAGGTTGGAGGTCACCTGATCACCCCCTCCACAACACCAGTCTGGATGGGGAGCCGCAGCTTCAACCGAGACCTTCTCCAGGTAGGCATCGGGAATGGCACGCTTGGAGTGGACGGCTCGCAGGACGGGGTACATGGCGAGACGGCGAGACGGTGAAGATAGTGAGTCTTCTCACATCGTTGTCGTTCTTCCAGACACTCGGGACTGGGACTACCGTCCCCATTGGGGTGGTTGAAGAGGGGTCTGTCTGGGGCGGCAGTCCGTCCTGGCAGTCCCATGGAGTGTTTGGGATTGGTTGGAGGGGAGCAGAAAGAGAAGCAAAACGGCACCAAGCAACGACTCTCCAAGTCATCAACATGGAAGTGCATGGATGGTAGTCTGTTGTTTTGTGCTGTTGGGCTAGATGCCCTTGCTGTGCTGTTGGCTTTCTTGGTGCGTGTTGCCGCTGAAGGATGTGTGTCCGTGTGACTGTCTGAGCAATTTGAACCCGATTCAAATCCAAAATGCTGCAGCTCGTCGTTCAGTGCCAATGGTTACTATAAGGGTTGAGCTTTTCCTGTTTGTGATGTTTACTTCAGCGCCACCTATAGGAAGTATACATGGAATAGCTATCTATAAGTGGTTGAAGTATACTATTTAGTTACTATAGTTACCCTAGTGGTTACTATAGCTATCTAAAGTGGTTATATAATGTTATATAAGTTACCCTAGTATACTTCAGCATGGTTCGTTGATTGCGTTGCGGGAAAAATCGATTCGTGGCGATGTTTGGGACAAACGTGCCGTTGTGACCTGTGCCGTTGTGACCTTTTTTGTGCACCCAAGATGGAAGGTCCGCAGAAAACCGAGTTTTGCTTCGTTCGGGGCTCCTGGCCTTACTAGGAGCAAGAAGGCTACTAGGAACAAGAAGCCACTAGTAACAAAGGGCATCGCTACGAACGGAGCAAGGACGCTACTATAAAATACATTTATTTGTTGGCGACGGTTGCCTGGGCCTGGGCTGCTCCTGAAACGATCTGCTGCTCCCGATCTACTGCTCCGACCAGGAGCAGATCATTGAGACGAGGGCCATTCAGACACACCTGAAATGGCCACCTGGTAGCGCCCGTGACGACTGGGGCGTCGATCTTCGAACAAACGGCGCGGATGGGATCCAATAGAACGAGGTATGTTCAATGCATTTGCGTTTGAACTCATATTACAAGCGCTACACAAGAGTTGTTTTCAAAAAAAAATTGATTTCAAGAATGGGATTCCCAATGCTTATGCAACTTGGATCCTCACATGGATCCTGAGAACTGTCATTGTTTTTTCATCTTTTTCTTGGGCGAAGTGCCCAACATTGAAATGTATGGCTAAGGGAAACCAAGAGGAGCAAGTACGCTACTAATAGGGCTCCTGGCCGTACTACTAGGAGCGATCGGACGCTACGAACGGAAAAACACGGGCATCGCTGCGAACGGAGCGATCGGACGCCACAAAACCGGAAACATGCCACCAACAAACAACACCGGATCACCCACCCGTTTCCACGGTCGTGAACCCACGTTTGCCGGGCCGGCGGCTTGTCGTTGAGCCGGTTGATGCCAGGACATCCATGTGCTCATGGTTCTTTTTTGGCTAGGCATGGTTCCGGCACTAGTAACTAGTATATAACAACCTCAACTAAAAGATGAATACAGATGTTTGTACGAAGATTTCAATATATAGATATATTTAAGGGCTGACGCCCGACAGCCAGCCAGAGGCCCATTAGTGGTGGTCGTTGTTGTTGTTGTTGTGGTGGTGGTGGTGGTGGTCGTTGTTGGGGGTACGTTGGCCCATCTTGGGCCGATGTTGGATCATCTTCGGGTACATTTTGCACCATTTATGTTGACACGGGCCCATCACCCTCAAAAATCTGATTATGCAACCCCGCGCGGCGCGCATAACTCGCACCACTTTTGTAAAACCCACAGTTTTCGCACTTCGCCACCACAAAAGCTTTTGATCTTCCAAGGCGCGAAACACTGTAAAACGAGATGTTTTTGAACGTCGCATGCAAAAAGCACTGCAAAGCACGACGGATGTTGCCCCCCAGGGGATGCACCCGCTCTCTCCTTCGGAGAGGAGAGAACAGTTCGGGAGGACACGGCCAGCGCCGGGTTTGATGACGGGCCCCAGGCCGGATTTAAAGCCTTATGCCTGACAGCCGGGGCAGGGACGAGAGAGAAGGAAGGGATAGGTAGGAAACGGGTGGGAGACCCCGGCAGCATCCTCCTCCTGTAAAGGTTGATTCTCCCACATGTCTAGCCCGGACGCTTCTCGCCGCAACCCCGAGAAGACCGTAAAGCACATGGCTTTCGCGCACGTTCAATCCAGTCGCAGCCCCGCAGACACTGTAAAACATATGGTTTTCGCCAGGGCCAATCTAGATGCTTCTGTCTGCAACCCCGAAAACTCCATATTTCACCCGTAAACCTGGGCCCAGCTTACACCCATCTTGGGCCTATGTTGGCCTATCTAGGCCGCACGTTGATGCCATCTGGGGCCTATGTTGGCGCATCTTGAGGCTATGTTGGTCCATCTTGGAGCTATGTTGGGCATATGTGGGACCTATGTTGGGCATCTTGGGGCCTTTGTTAGGTCATCTTGGGGCACATTTTGCGCAATTTATGTTGGCACGCGCCATCGCCCAAATGGATCCGATTATGCACGTCCGCGCGGCGCGCGTTACCGACACCACCCTTGTAAAGCCCACAGTTTTTGCATTTCCTCACCATTCCGCCACCACAAATTTTTGATCTTCCACCCCCACAAAACCCTGTAAAGCACAATGTTTTTTGAACCTCACGCACACAAAACATTGTAAATTACACGACCTGAGGTGAACACGGGGTGGGTCGGCGGCAACGGGCGCGCCGCCTATCCGGCCAGGGGCGTGAGCCCCGTCAGGGCCGTGTCCCTCCAGGGGAGCTCTCCTTCTGCGAAGCAGAAAGCGTAGCCGCCCCCAGGTCCGGGCCCCAGAAACGCCTACGTTTTTTTTTTCCGCGCTTGTTGCTCACGATGGGTCAACATAGCCCAACATAGGCCCAAATAATGCTGGAAATGCGTGCCGCACCGGTGTGCTTCATCTGCATCGTGGGCGGATGTTTGGCCGATGCTGGCACTGCGTTGCCCCATCTTGGCGTTATCTTGGCCCATCTTGGGGCTATGTTGGGCCCATGTTGAGCCTATGTTGGCCTATTTTCAGCCTTCCACAATCTAACTCCACTCCAAAAACGGTTGAAAATGCTCTCTCAGTTCCAAATTTTGCTTTCTGACGGCAGTCTGAAAAATCTCTTCTTCTCCTCTTCCAGGAGCCGTTCTCGAGGCCCAAACCCAGCCTCCGCCGATGCCCCCGCCACCAACCACTTATAATAATTCGTCCTCGGACCTCCTCTCAGAGCCCGGCAGACCCGGTGATTCTCTGGCGCGCAGGGGTCGGCGGATATATGTTTCTATTTGTTGGATCGGACCGGGCACCGGTTCCTGCTATTGACCTGATGTTTGCGGGAATCAGCTACTCGACATCCACGATCGGACCCGGTTCGACAAAACCGGTGTTTGCCAAGGATCCAACGGTTGCCGGGGGACCTAAGCTGTGTGTCGGGATGTAGACAGTGTCAGCGTCGCCGGACTCCAGTGCTGGAGAAGTCAGCCGGCTCACCTAGTACTGGCTGGGCGGCTGGGCGTGGTACAGGCAAAGATGTGCATATACTTCGCACCATGCAAGCTGTTTGCGCATCACGGATTGCTTTTGTTTGTTTGGGGGCCATTCCACGAAAGGGTCTTGTTTCGGAAGATTCGGCCTTGCAGTCGTACGTGGAAGTTTGAGTGACCAGTTTGAGTGACTGGTGGAGAGGATGCTCATCCAAAACGGAAGTCCCGTTGCTCGCAGTCGTTTGTTTGGTCTGAAGAAACCGAGCAGTCAGACAGGTCAAAGCTAAATGGAGCTGCTGGACAGGCGGAAAGTCATCTTCCAGAATGCTGGAATGAAAAATCCCAGAAGAGCAGAGGAATCCAAGGACCGGAGGACCAGGACAAGGGAATCCAGAAGTGGCAAGTGGCGGATGTGATTTTGATCTCCTCATTTGTCTCTAAATCGGAACAGCAGTTTCTCCGGGCCCAGATGTGCAGAGAGATGCTTTAAGAGCTGACTGAACACGTTTTTCACCGTAAAGAGTGAAGCGAGAGTTCCTTTAGGAGCACATGTGGAATCATTCGGATGCATCAATGGATGCCGCTTCAACGAATTACATTGTGCCCCGCTTGGAGATGGCATTCACGGCTTTGATCAGCAGTTGGTTTTCAACATGGAATCCTTGGGTACCCTCAATTTTCAGTGCAACTTTGCAGTTGATAGCATGTTGACGACTTGCAAGGAATGTCATATCATTTGTGAACATTGATGTATTTGAGAAATTCAAAAAGGTACATTTCTGTTAGCTGATGATTGAACAATTGAGTTTATTTTGTGTGAGGGTTCCAACTATGCAATATGTTGTCCTTTTGCAGCTGCCTGGGTCTATAGTTGAAAAAGAAACCATGTTGCACAGTTGGAGGATCTAGGTATGATGTATATATATCCACATATGTGCCGCACTCTACGGTAAGCGGGCATCCATTGAACGTTCTTGAAGGGCCCACAAAGTTCAGGGAGAACCCTTAAGAGAGGTCAAAGTGATCGATGTAGGAGCAGCTTCATCCAACATCTCTTGAACACCTTGAAATGGGTCTTTTGCTCAGCGTCACTGCCATCCAAAGACACCAAAACCACTGCCACCAAAGACATGATGAGAGTCCATGCACGGTGTGAAAAGACGGTGTCCTCAGTTCAACGGACTTCAAAACAGATGAAACCATTTGCCACGGTGCCATGTGGCCCACATGGTTCTTCCGCGCAAGCCTGGCGAGATCTGGTGGTGACTGTCCCAAGCCATACTGGCCACTCAAGGACCCGTCAATGCATGGTCAGCCATTTCACTTCCCCCTATATATAGCTGAATATAGTTAATTAGGTGCCGCACTCCATGGTGTTTTCCGCACCCGTCTGACCTCTTCCCCGGTCGACACCGATGGCACCCCGTTCGACTCGGTCGCCACTCGGTCGCTCAGAAACTTGACGAACTGCGTGCTGGCGCCCGACGTCTGGGACCTGACGAAGGCGCGGGACCGGGCGGGTGGGGCTGGCGCGGGTGAGACCGGGCGCATGGGACTGGGGCGAGGAAGTAGAAGACACACGGAGGAGATGAAGCATGATGAAGCTAACGTGGAGAGAGGAGATTGGGTGAGTTGGATCCTTTGCTGATTTGGTGGGCACCTGGCCTCCGCAAAATCGTGTTTAGTAGGAAATAGGGCAAGAACTCTCACTTGCCCTGTCTTGAACTGGAATTTGAAAGTGCATTTTGAGATGTTTGATGATGTTTGTGTTTGTTTTTTTTCGTGTCAGGGTCAGGGAAGAATCCGCTACTGGTATGTCGACTACTACAACCGACTCGGTGACCATATGGCTTGTTTTCATGACTCATTGTTTCCAGCTTTAATCATTACTCCCCAGGCTCCAGTCGTACCTCCTCACAAGGTATTTGGACCCTCTAAACTCACCCCAAACACCTTCTCAGAAGGTACTTGGAACCCTATGACCAATATATTCGATGAAACTGCCACCGAGAACGTACAAACCAAACTCGAAAAAAAGGAGGACACAAAAAACCATCACCAAGCACGTCGAGGTCACGGTGACCAACCATCGACTGTGACGAGTCTAGGTCGCTGCCTTGGCCTCCCAGCCGGGCTACCTTTGTGACGTCACGCTGCTTCTCTCCGTGGTTCTTCGGTTTGCATACGACCGGGGGACGGGATCGTCGGGTGGGGGGGGGGCGGTAGAGCCGCTCTGAAGCGGCGTTTTCCGCGGGTTGAAGATGGTTGAAGCCAAGAATTTTGGAGGTTTTGCTGTCTCGGTTTGGCTTTGTGATCTTCGGTCCGTGGTGTGGTGGGCATACCCATTCCGGTTTCGCGCTCAGTGCTCGGTGTTCGGCGTAAACCACAACTCGTCGACGATGTGCTCGTGTGATTATATCTTTGGGGGGGTGGAGTGGTCATGGTGCCTTTGACCCACCAAGTAGAGCATTTCGCATGGCCAACTGAGCAAACCCAAGGAGCAGAGGAATGAGGGATGGATGAACCATGATGAACCTTCTTGTTCTTTTTTTCTGGAAGCGCGTGGATGACTGGAGACTCTCCGCCGCCGAGTCGCACAGAAGGAGGATTGGGTGCAGATGAAATTGCTGGTTGTCGATAGCAAACGTTGCGCCTAAATGATTGACCAGACACTCCATGGGACTGGTATATATGCCTACATTGACCCCTCTTCAACCACCCCAATGTAAATATGCCAGTCCCATGGAGTGTCTGGGAATTGAATACGCGTTGTCATTTCTCTTCGATTGGCACTTCAAATTGACTAGATAGGCATAGAGATAGGCCCTGAGGCATTTCTATGGCACCACGCCTTCTATATATAATGTCACTTTGGAAAATCTAAAACATTGTAAAACGATGTAAAATGGGTCACTTTGAAGAAGCTTGTACCTGGACCTGAGGGAATTTCATGTTTGATGCCGCTGCCTGTTGATCGATTGATCTTGCACACCGCAAACCAGAACGAACGTTCCCTGTGCCGGCAACTTCAGCAGATGTTTTTTCACGGCTGAGCTCCTTCGAACTGGTCACTCTCCTGGGGCGCTTTTCGTTCAATCGAAGTGTCAGAAGTGTCAACACCTGGGGCGTCATTGCCCGACCTGGGCCCTTGGTGAGTGACACAGTTCAAGTCTCTCTAGACTCTAGAATTGGTGGATTTTTCAGTTCATCAAATGGGAAACACACGTTACCTGGAACAGGATGGAACCCACCGGGAAGCGGCCCTTGGTGAAAATGCACCAGACCACCGTGCCTGCGTAATGATCCAACGACCGACTCGCGGATCACCAGGTGCACCACATCGACAACGTGGCTGGACATCGATGTGTTGGGCGTGGTGCCAGCCGGGGGGGCTGGCTGGGGCGTGTTGGTCGTGTGCCAGGTGTTGAAGTTCCTATAAGAGTTGATGAATGTCTTTATAAAGAATGTTAATAAAGGATTCTTGGGAGCAACTTGGATCTCTTCCAGATCTTCTTGGCTGCAGAACTGACTGCAAGCACCATTGAAGTTTCCCTCGGGAGTCTGCACAGGTAGACTTTGACCAGAATCCCTACATGGCGCTGCAGCTCTCACCAGCTAGAGCCCTCTTGTTCTGGGTTCCAATATGTTCCAAATCCCCAAAAAGGGACACTTTGATGGCCAAACCCACTAAAACTGAACCGAAAGTGGTGTGGTTGCACCGCCAGGGATTCATTGTTCTTTCGGCTCGCACCGTCAGCGAATGGGGCGTTCCAAGCGAGTGCAAAAGAAAGCCTAAGGTGGAAACATGGCAGTGATTGACCGCTACATGCCTTTCCCGGTATTCCATTTGTTCACTATGATTGCTTTGTTCCTCCTTTTAGGAAATGTTCCCTTTTTCCATTTGTGTTACCTTTTTGAATGCAAAAAACTGTGTTCCTTTTATTTCGCGACATGGGGGGTTCTAGGTAGTGCCCCCCTTTAAAGATATTGGAAACCGTGAACCATCGTGAACGTATCACATTTGATCCCCCCTCTTCGAACGAAAGTTGAAACTATCACCTGAAAAAACAATAAAAACAAATTATAAAACATCACCTGAGGAAGTTGAAACCGTTTCAACATCACCTGAAACGATCCCCCTCTTCAAATATTTTTGAGATACGGGTTCTGCCCAATGAACTAGAGACCTGGAGGGTCCTGGAGGGTCCTATGCCATGGAACAAAAACAAACCGAAAAGGTTCTGAACAAGAATGACGGTCTGTTCTACCGTTCTACCCGTGTTCTGCCCATTTTGTCCCAGTGAGGTCTCCTTGGATCAGTACGCGGCCAAAGGCTTGAGTCGTGTGGAGGCAAGCTGGTTAGTCCCTAAGTCGTTGCTGAGTCGCAGGAGTTTCTTGTGACGTTAGTCTTCCAAGTCTGCCAATGATACCCTCACCCCAACAGAACGCAGACATGATTGTGGCTGTGAAGTTGCTCAGGAATGCACCATCTATTTTTGGAGTCATGAAGCTACTAGTAACAAGGTGCATCGCTACTAGTAGCTAAGGGCTAAGGGCAATACTACTAAGTTACTAGTAACAAGAAGCTACTAGTAAGCTAACAGCTGGAGGAGCTCAAAGCTGGGTTAGAGCACTGTGACTTGGCCAAGGACAACTGTTGCAGCTCACACCCTATCGTAAGGAGGACGGATGACCTAAGTCCCAAGTTGTTTATGGAACGTCATTGAGCGTATTAAAGTTTGACTGCTACATGGTTTGTGCTAGATGTTTGTAGGTTTAATAGACCAATTGGATATGATATGGATGTGAACTGGGATAAATATGAATAATGATCATGACAAGTAGCCAGTGAGTGCGTAGGATCTAAAAAATCATGCTTTGCTCAAATAATGACAACACACTCACCAAGCAGGATAACGTGATGGACACAGCAAACATGGAACACAATTCTACACTCACCAAATTCTGATAAACTTCAGCGATGCAAATAAGTTTTGGCAATCGCTCATGTGGATACATGTTTCAATCAGATATGTCAACAGGATGTTCAAGATTCAAGACATCTGCTTTGTTTGTTGTCATTTTCAGAGAGCTTCTTAGGGTCATTTCTTGGGTTGTTGGATCCATTGATCTAAAGAGATCAACCCATATTTAGAGATTAGTTATATATACGAAGGACCCTTTGCAGGACATTGCTTCTTATGCCTTGTTTCAGTGTTTTTGCAAGAACTGTAGATCTAAGGTTTTGCCCAGGTTGTATACTGCCATGGTGAAAACACACCTTGCGGCACTAGCTGCAGCCTCACTCTCGGATCGAGGTCGGTCAGCCCGTCTCGTTTTGGCTGACAGGGCTCAAGAGACCTGACCGCTTGCAAAGCCCCGTCAAGCAAAACCTTCGGTGATGAACAAGTCCGGGGCCTCGAACCTTCCAAGCTGATCCAGTGGGACCTCCGTTCGTAAGTCCGGATGACCGCGCAGTGTTTAGCACTCGCTTCGGAGCGACGATGTCCAGGCCTGGACGGAACAGGCCCCAAACAATCATAGTTACAGTAACAGTCCTTTCTTTAACGAAAACAAGTAGGTTTCATTAGGGTGTGCCA